CCCAGGATCTTCACCATGAGTCGTTAGGGTCTGTTTCCGGAAAACCATTTCCTTCTGATTCGGACGGGATAAGATTAATTCCTACGGTTACGCAATGTGCCCCCGAGAGGCTTGGAGACAATTGTCAGTCTTCTAGATATCCCCCACGTGTCAACCTGATAAGCTTGGTCTTCTGAGATACCCGAGCTTAGGTACTAGCCAAGGTGGCTGAGGTACCCGAAGTGGAGTGACCTACCGAGGGGGTCAGGGTGTAGACCCAACCCATCAAGGTGATTAGGTGCGCAAAGTTAACCAGCCAGGTAGTTGAGGATGTTGAGTCACGCGTCCAGTCACCTGATTGAGTCCACGTGTCTGTTGTTCACTAGGTCAGGCCAAATCACCCCTCATTAGGAACCATCTAGGCAACCGGTTCCGTTTTATCCTAATCTCGGTCCCTGGCCAAAAATCGTTGAATTGGTCAACGACCCATTGTCCTAGGCAGTCGAACCATTGACCCGTTCAATGGTTTTTGGTCATTTTTTTTTATTTTTGAATTTTTGTTGTTAGAACGGGCCATTCGTTCGATCCGAATAGTCAAACCATCAACCCGAAAACCGGTGGCCAGAACGGTTCCGTTTTCAAGTCGTATGAGTCACACGCTCGAATGACATAACACGTATGGTACTGCTTAATGGACCTCACACACTCAATTTTTCGCCTGTAATTTTTTTTATCAGAATGGGTCATCCGTTTTTTTATTTTTTTAATTGGGAACCATCCAAGCAACCAGTTCCATTTTACCCCAATCCCGATCCTTGGCAAAAAACCATTGAATCGGTCAACGACCCATTGACCCGAGTGGTCGAACCGTTAACCCGTTGACTTGTTCGATGGTTTTTGGCTATTTTTTTTTTTAATTTTTGTTGTCAGAACGGGCTGTCCGTTTGAACCGGACAGTCGAACCGTCAACCCAAAAACCGACAGCTAGAACGGTTCCATTTTCGGGTCGTATGAGTCACATGCTCGAATGGCATAACATGTATGATACTGCTTAATGGACCTCACACACTCAATTTTTTGCCTATAATTTTTGTTGTCATAATAGGTTGTCCGTTCAAACCGAACGATCGAACCGTTAACCCAAAAACTAGTGGCCCAAACGGTTCCATAATTTTTTGTTGACAGAATGGGCCATCCGTTTGAACTAAACAGTTGAACCGTCGACCCAAAAACCGGTGGCCAGAACGGTTTCGTTTTCGGGTCGAATGAGACACGCTCAAATGACATAGCGCGTATGATACTACTTAATGGACCTCACAAACTCAATTTTTTGCCTATAATTGTTGTTATCAAAATGGACCATTCGTTCGAACCGGATGATTGAACCGTCAACCTGAAAATCGGTGGCCAGAACGGAATAATATTATTTAATTATTTTTAATATAAAAGTAAATATTAAATTTATGAGTAGGATTTATTAACAATATTCATTAAATTAATAATTATGAAAATTAAATTAAATTAACAATATTTATAAGTAATAGTCAGTAATTATAATATTTTATTAAATAATCAATAACAATACTTTTAATAACATTTTTAATATAACAAAAGTTACTAAATTTATTAACAGTATTTATTAATAAAAAATATTTATAATTTGAATTTAAAGTAAAATTAAAGTAAATATCTATTTATTAACAATATTTATAATAACAGTAATTATTAATTATAATCACAAATTATATATTTATTAAATTACTTTAATAATTAGAAATTTATTAACAGTATTTTTTTAATAATAGTATATATAATTTTAAAGTAAATATCTATATAGTAATAATTAATTATAATCACTAATTATATATTTATTAAATTACTGTAATAATCGGTAATTATTAAAATAAATAGATATATTTATTAAATTACTATATAATAACAGTAATAATCAATAATTTATTAATAATATTTATTAACAATAACCATAATAATCAGTAATTATTAAATTACAGTAATTAATTAATTAATTACTGTAATTATAGTAATTACTATAATTAATTACTATAATAATCAGTACTTGAAAATCTATTCCATTTTTTTTGCACATAAAAAGCATCTTTATCCTATATATATATATATATAAAAGATTCCCGGTGTAAGGCTGTAAAGACTGTTCGAACGGTGTTAAAACTGGCCTTGCACTGACTGAAAAAAACAGAAAAAACATTTTCTCCCATGTGGAGCACGCACGTGGCCCATGACAGAAGAAAATCGATCCATTGCATGGTCACGCTGAATTATTTTGTCTCCTCTTATTATTGGACACGTGTTTTATATTTTCCAATATTTGCAGAAATCCACCCCCGAACCAAAAGCTTTGCTGGTTGCTACGAATTCAACTTTTTTAAGTTCATTTACTAAAATACCTTTTTTAATTCCATAGATTTACTTAAATCTATCCATGCTCCTTATAATTTGCAACTAATTTACTTAATTGGCCTTAAGTGTTTTTGTCTACAAATTGTAATGGTGATCATATAATGTTTAAAGGCATAAGCCATGCTTTCTTATTCCAAAATTACCCTTTATAGAAAGAAACAAGGTTTGATTTTCATACCTATTAAAAAAATGTTTGGATTCACTAGACTGTTAAAGAGAGAATAGTGGCATCCAAGGATCTTTGTCAGCAATGGTATATCTTCTTCTTCAAATATAGATAATAAATTTTACCCAATAGAGTTGTTATCTAGTAGATGCATTTTACTAGGACAAGAATGATATTTCCATTTTTGTTTTCTGAAAAACTGTTATTTTCCACTTCCACTATAAAAGTTGATTAAGTAAACTGATTGCAAACTATGGAAATGTTTTAATGAGTAGATTTTAGTAAATGTATATCAATAGGGGTGTTTGGAACCAATGCCATTTTGAGAAGTATGCTGATTTTTTTGGGGATTTTTATTTGGTACCATTATTGTTGCTGCCATATAAGGGTTTTTTAATGCCATGTCAAGATAGTATTGTTGGCAAGAGTAGAAAAAACTGAGAAACAATAAAATTCTCGAATCATGTTTTTTTTTTTTTTTTCAAGATATTATCCGAAAAAAACGTTTACCAAAACATCATACGTTTAAAACGAATTTAAAACATAGTATATGTTTGGCAAAGCTTTCATTTATTAAATGAATGTTTGTACTTGATTTGTCTTCAAACTGACAAAAAAACAGTTGATAAACATTTTTCTGGGATTTGTTGCCAACTAAATGCCATTAGGCTATTTTAGGCGTCATTAAGTGCCGCATCAACAAAACAATAAAACGCTTAACCATTAAGGGAAGTGTTAAAATAAGCTTCTTCCAACGGGACGTACAACATAAATCAACACCAAAATTTAGCAAGAACTATGCATACAAATAAGCATGATGAGACACTATCAAATAAAGGGAAGCCATACCAAACACGGCCATGGCCATAGTGATGATGTGACACCATTTTTTAAAGAAATGTCATTTATGCCAAACACATACTTAGTAAATGATGTAGGCACATTCGGCTGGCTTGTACAAAGCTCACGCGTGTCGAATGAAGGTCGACCGCATAGGCTTACCATGAGGATGCTCAGGGTTACTTGACGTGGACCAGGGGGACCCAGCCGTAGGGCGCTGCATGGCATTGCCAGAACATCTCGCCAGACCCTCGTACGGCTCACATTTGGACCATCCGAGCCCAATTGCCCCCTGGCAACTCCGGCTATAAATGCAAGGCACCCCCCCCACACAAGGTAAGGGATTCGACTAAAAATCTTTGTGATCTCTATCTCTCTCTCCACTAAGGACTTAGCGCTATCTGAGACCTCATCTGGACCCCTCGGCTCCAGACTCATCACTTACCTCGTGCAAATACTAACTTGATCGTCGGAGTTCTCGCCTCAGGTAACCACCCGAGGCCTCTAACACCTTCTCCCTTGCAGGTTCACTATTGTGGGAACCACCCCTCATCCTCCCTCGGACACCCTTCTCGATACAAGCCCTCATCTTCTACAATATCCCAAGGAGCGATACGCCTCAGCCTCGGCTTAACTCCCCAAGACCCTCAAAGCCTTCGCCTTCCCTTGAGGCTTGGGAGTGAAATTACTTTGTTGCCCTCAGCCAAACCAAGCATCAACAATTGGCGTTGTCTGTGGGAAACGTTGCTAAGACGATCCCTCAAAACACTACAAACTTGAGATCTCCTAAAGCTTCAAACACCATGGTACGAAGAGCTAGGAACCCCCAGAACCTGGTCACGAGTGAAAAGTTCCAAGCCATCCTCAACCACTTGGAATACCTCACACAACGCGTGGAACAAACCTACCCCCAGGCAGGAGGTCCCTCTCGAGGCGACCGCCCCACCGGGGTGTCAAATCACTAGGGCCAACGTGAGCATGTCAAGCCCCTAGCACTCGGCCTAACCGACCCCCAGTGGGT